TTAAATATCGGAACATTAATCAAATAACTGGACTAAAGGGAACTGCTGTAAACATTCAATCCATGGTGTTTGGTAACATGGGGAACACTTCAGGAACTGGCGTCCTTTTCACTAGAAATCCAAGCACTGGTGAAAACAAACTTTATGGCGAATTTCTAATTAATGCTCAGGTTACATGTGACTTACTTATTCTTTTTTTCCATGTCATATCATATCTGTTAACTTGTGGATGTTATCAATTACTCTTGATGATGATGTTTCAGTAACTAAATGTTGAATTATTTATGATTAGGGAGAGGATGTAGTTGCTGGAATCAGGACACCTCAAGACTTAGAGGTCATGAAATCTTGCATGCCAGAAGCTTGTAAGGAACTTGAGGAGAATTGTGAAATTCTAGAGAAACATTACAAGGATATGATGGTAAAGTTTCAATCTTTGTATATATTTGTTCTACGTTTATAATTTATACTAATTGTATAAATAGATTGATAGATAAAACTTCTAAAATTGTGATTATATGTTGTAGGATATTGAGTTCACTGTCCAAGAAAATAAGTTATGGATGTTGCAATGTCGAGTCGGGAAACGTACTGGTAAAGGTGCAGTCAAAATAGCTGTGGATATGGTTAATGAGGGGCTTGTTGACATTCGTTCTGCAATAAAGATGGTAGAGCCACGACATCTTGATCAATTTCTGCACCCACAGGTATATAGTAGTCCTACCATTATCCATTTATCATGTGCCTTTGACTTCCTTTTAGACAAAGGAAAATTTTGATGTCGATTCTTAGAGTTGATTTTATGCATATAAAATTCATAACTTCTTACAAGTAAAGAAAGTATTTAATGTGACCAATCTAATTTTTCCCCGTAAAAGCTTAATAATTTATGTGCCTAAAATCAATCTAAGGATTGATGTTAACAAAACTTATTTAAATAATGCTTTAACTGAAACCACTTGAAAGCATCAATTAACTAACTTTATTAGGGTTAGTAAAACCCAGAGAAAAAGAATATAAAACATCATAACCACATTTATTATATATCGTTGTTTTCGCTAGATGATTTTTACTGTTTAATCAAAATGTTTAGTTATTTCCTATTTATATTTGCCCACTAAGTTATTTGATTCACGTAAGATACTTATTGTCTAAATATTTATTTGGTTAGTTTGAGGATCCATCTACTTACAAGGACAAAGTGATTACCGTTGGTTTGGCAGCATCCCCTGGAGCAGCAGTAGGGCAGGTGGTGTTCACGACTGATGACGCTGAAGAATGGCATGCACAAGGAAAGAGTGTTATCTTGGTAATCCTTTTTTCACTGTATAATCGTTTTTCTTTTTAATTCTTACTTCTTTTAATTGATAATCTACCTGTCTACTTTTAGCTAGAAAAATCCAGAGTTTTACATAAATTTTCGCCAGAGTTTTACATTTTTTACATAAATTGTTGTTTTTATGGTTAAAATGTAAATGTTGTCCTTGATTTAATAATATTTATGGCTTGGTTAAACGAGCCATCCACTAACAATCCTTAAATGCGACTACACTCTTGAATTGTTGAAGGTGAGGAATGAGACAAGTCCAGAGGATGTTGGGGGTATGCATGCAGCTACAGGAATCTTGACGGCTAGGGGTGGTATGACATCTCATGCTGCTGTTGTAGCCCGTGGATGGGGAAAGTGTTGTGTGTCTGGTTGCTCTGATATACTTGTAAATGATGCTGAGAAGGTAAACTTGGATTTTTTATTTATGTATGTAGTATACATACACGCTAATAAAAGATGATGCATGTTCTGATTATGAACAATTTTAATTGATAATGTAGGTGTTTGTAGTCGGGGAAAAGGTGATAGCAGAAGGAGAATGGCTCTCACTGAATGGATCCACAGGTGAGGTGATATTGGGAAAACAACCACTTTCTCCTCCAGCTCTAAGTGATGATTTAGGAACTTTCATGTCTTGGGCAGATGAAATAAGGCATCTGAAGGTGGTGCATGTTCTTTATATATTGTAAAAGTTGATTGAATAAAGGAAAACTTTATAATTTCTCTAATACGTTTTTGTCTATTATCAGGTTATGGCAAATGCTGACTCTCCTGAAGATGCAGTAACAGCTAGACAAAATGGTGCTCAAGGGATTGGACTTTGCAGGACAGAGCATATGGTACAACAAACATTCAACTCATTGCTATATCTAAATCAAAAGTGTGACTATCTTGGGAGAATTATATCTAATATCCTCCTTATAAGCTAAACATTGACTTTACGGATCATTTTATGTTGTTCCCTAGGAATCCAAATTGAATTGGAATTTTTTTCATTCTTTTTTACTTATCTACGTACGGTAGTTACAAATTATTTGATTACTTTTGGTATGTTTTGGTGTGTTATAGTTTTTTGCTTCAGACGAAAGAATAAAGGCTGTGAGAATGATGATAATGGCTGTTACAGCAGAGCAGCGGAAAGCTGCACTGGACTTGTTGCTACCTTACCAAAGATCAGATTTTGAGGGGATATTTCGTGCAATGGATGGTCTGCCAGTAACAATTCGATTGTTAGATCCTCCACTTCATGAATTTCTTCCAGAGGGTGACCTGGAGCACATTGTTAGCGAACTAACTTCTGAAACAGGAATGAAAGAAGAAGAAATCTTCTCCAGGATAGAAAAACTATCAGAAGTGAACCCCATGCTCGGTTTTCGTGGCTGCAGGTTTGTCGTCCTCATCTTATAATGCTGTAGTCTGTGTAGCAAATTGTAATCTCAAAGTATCATATGTGATTGATGATTTCTGTTTAGAGCAGGAAGTTCATGTTGGTTTGCATTTCCTCATGCTTGACAATTGAAATTCTATGAACAGGTTGGGAATATCATACCCAGAATTGACTGAGATGCAGGCCCGTGCAATCTTTCAGGCTGCTGTTTCAGTGAAAAACCATGGTATTACAGTTCTTCCAGAGATAATGGTTCCACTTATCGGTACACCTCAGGCATGGTCCTTTTTCTTACTTATTTCTTCGCTCTTTAATTGTCCTTTTATTTACTTCACATGTATCTAATCATGCGTATATATAATTTATTTGAGAAATCTCATTCCATATTACACTTTTAAACATTGCCTTGAATCCCTTCCTCCTTAATTATGAACCTCTTAAAATACGATGTGAATCACAATTTTGATTCTGATATTAATGAAGCCCTTTGATGTAATGATTACATGATATAAGCCCCTAATTTTTAATAATTGGCAGGAATTAAGGCATCAAGTAAGTTTAATAAGGAACGTTGCTGATAAAGTTTTGTCTGAGACGGGTTCTTCCTTAAGCTATAAGGTTGGGACTATGATTGAAGTTCCAAGGGCTGCGCTAGTTGCAGAGGAGGTAATATTTATATCCTGATGTCTTGCAAATTCACTCTTAAACCGTAATAAAATTTTAAAAATGAGATAAAAAAAAGGGTTTTCTTTTCGCATTCACTCGGGTTGTAACTTGTACATGGTAATGAGCTTTAGACCGGGAACCATATTGTAGATTTATAATTGCAACACACGAGTTAAAAGGATCATCTGCCCTCTTTTGTTATTTACACTTTCTCATTTTATAATCAATTCATCTAGATCGCAAAAGAAGCAGAGTTCTTTTCATTCGGAACCAATGACCTTACTCAAATGACATTTGGATATAGTAGAGATGATGTTGGAAAATTTCTTCCCATCTACCTATCCACTGGGATTCTGCAGCACGATCCATTCGAGGTGAGTTGCCTCATGTTTGTTTGGCCTTTTATACATAATGATGAAGGAAGGGTTTTGAATTTGAATTGTTGACAATATTTGCAGGTACTTGATCAGAAAGGTGTGGGTCAACTAATCAAGATTTGCACAGAAAAAGGTCGCACTGCTAGACCAAACCTAAAGGTATGATAAGTAACTTAACAATATAAATTTAAATTAATTATTTTTGTTAACATCTTGCTTATTCTTACCCTAAAAAGTGGAAATAAAACATTATATTGATTATCAGGTTGGAATATGTGGAGAGCATGGTGGGGAACCTTCTTCTGTCGCATTCTTTGCTGAAATTGGACTTGACTATGTTTCATGTTCACCTTTTAGGTCAGATTTTCAGTTCCAGATAATAAAAATACGAAAATTTTGTTTTTTCAAATGTGAAACTAAAAACTACGAGGACACATTTGCAGGGTTCCAATTGCTAGGCTTGCGGCAGCTCAAGTTGCAGCATAAGAAATCTTATGCTCATATCGCAAACATGAAAGAGAAGATTGGTTGATTCTCTGCAACTTCTAAATACTATTGTTCAGCATAAGCCATATACATACGAAATTAAGGACCTTCTATCATCTACTTATAGAAGTGAAACCAAAACAAAATCAATAAACAAATCTTGTAAATAAATAATATTAAAAGAGAAACGTACAAATATTCATGCTAATGTTTCTCCATACGTGTCTTGTCATATAATAAACCGAATATGTTAAATTATTGTACATGTTCTATTCGATACTATCATAATAAAAAAAATTCTTGTATGTTTAATTATGTTTCTTCTGTAGATGATGGCTGATATTTATTATTTTTATATTTAAGGGGCTAAATAATATATTAATAATAAATATATATATATATAAAAAAAAGAAAATAAAAGAATAGAAAGATAAAATTATAAATATATATTTAAATATATTAAATAATAATTAAGTTTAAAGAAATATTAATAAGATAAAATTATAAATATACAAGTAAATATATTAAATATTTATTTAAAAAAATTATAAATATATATTTAAATATATTAAATGATGATTAAATTTAAAAAAAAATTAATAAGATAAAATTATAAATATATTAAATATTTATTTAAAAAGTGAGAATCATAAATAGAAGTTAGAGATATAGGAAGAAGATATGGGCCTGCCTATTCAACTGATCGAAGGAGAACGTGCAATAATTGTTTTAGCACGTGCCATTTAACACGTACATGTTTGTAATAGTAGACAACGAGATAACAAAAGATAAAAGAAACTTGCGTTTGCATGTAATTGGGCCGAGGTGGGGGCCGGTGAAGGAGGAGTTGGGCCAATATTGTAATTTCAATTTGTATTGTGAAATTGACGAACCCTGGGGAGGAGCACGGCGTTTGGAGGTGGAAGCAAAAGCTGAATCGAGAAGAATGGGGTGGGAGAGCTACGTGGTGGTGCACAACATAGCAAAGAGGCACAACGTGGGAACGCTGGCTCGCAGTGCCACCGCGTTTGGCGTCTCAGAACTCATCCTCGTTGGCCGTAGAGATTTCAACTGTTTCGGCAGCCATGGCTCCTCCTCCCACCTTCGATTTCGACACTTCCACTCCCTCCACGATGCTCGCAACTTCCTCAAAGACAAAGGCTGCGATATTTGCGGTGTTGAGATCACAAACGACGCTCTCCCTGTCAATCAGCATCCTTTCAAGAAAAGCACCGCATTCCTACTCGGCAACGAGGTAGCTACCTCTCTTTCGCTTTCGCATTCGCATCAATTTCAATTTTCCCCATTTACTCTTCTACATTGTTGTTTTTAATCTATCTGCAGGGCACGGGGCTTTCTCCAAAGGAAATTGAGATATGCGACTTTTTCGTCTATATTCCTCAATATGGCGGCGGCACTGCTTCCTTGAATGTTACTGTAGCTGCTTCCATTGTACTCCATCATTTCGCAGGTTTGTTTTTTTCCGCAATAGATCAATTACTTTCCCCTTTTCTTGGCTTATACTTCATGTGCTTATGCCAACCCGACTAGTGCGTGTACTTCTTGGCAGTTGGAACGTATGTTGTACAACCTAAATTTTATTAGGTTAAATTGTTCATTTGATTTTATCTTTGCTTTTCTTTCCATTCTAAGTATTATCCTCTCTACATGAGAAAACAGTAAATTTTGTTATCCATACTCGCATGTTTGTCTATGTTTTAGTCCCTCTCGTTAATACCGGAGAAAACTGTTTAGAGACTTAACTTGCAAACTTTTAGGGACTAAAATTTAAGTTGAAAAATCTATAGAAAGAACTGTAAAACATTATGTAGTTTTCCTACGTTCTTAATTCATTATGGAAAACTACTCTACAGGATCTTTAGATTATTGATTTTCACAATATAACATACATCAATACATGAATCATAGTAAGAACACTAACCTTGATCCATGAGAATCTATTCTTTTTAATCTTTTCATTCTTCAATCTCCTTTTCCCAATCTATCTCTTTGTCTTTCTTTCTCTTCTCACGCTTTCTTGATGGTTTACCGTGAAAAAACCTTATGACCAGAGACAGAACCCTAATCCCTTTTATTAACCAACGTCCATCAAGTTGATTACCGTAAGTTAATATTTTATTTTATCTTTATTTTATTCTGACTTCACATAATAACCAATAGGTCCTCATATTTTTATTAAATCACATTTGGGCCCATTATTATATTTCACATGAGTCACATAATGGAATGAATTAATTAAATTAATTCTAACATTCTCCCACTTGACTCATGTGATGTCATACGATTCTGTGATTTAATACTTAAGTCATAATGCGCATTAAAAGACCTTACATAAATTGGTTCTATCATCATTCATAATTAAAGATACAGCTATAACAAGAGTCATGGCGGTTACATGTCATTCAATCGACAGGCTCCCTTCCATGTACCACTATATTATCTCTTTCTCCTTAATATGACTTTATAATGAGAAGTCCATAATGGGTTCAAACATAATATCATTTTAATAATAATAACATAATTTGTTTTCTTCATCATAATTTGCATGCATATAAATAAAGAAGAAAACACAAAATTCAGAAACTTATACATTAAAGATCTCAGAGTGTCACATAAGCATTAATAATAACATTAACATTCAACATTCACTAGTGAACATAATGCCCACATTCATTATATGGCCAGCAAATAATTTGGGCGATAATCCCTTTGTTAAAGGATCAACAATCATAAGATCAGTGCTAGTATGTTCTATTGACACTATACGTTTCTGAACTTCTTCTTTAACGGCAAAGTATTTCAATTCCATATGTTTAGCACCTTTGGAATACTTGTCGTTCTTAGAAAAGAAGGCTAGCTGCGGAATTGTCACAATAAATTTTCAGCGGCTTGGCAATCTTGTCGACTACTCCAAGTCCCGAAATAAAATTCCACAACCAATTAGCTTGAACTGTGGCCTCAAAGCATGCCACAAATTCAGCTTCCATGGTGGATGCAGCAATGACAGACTGCTTCGCACTTTTCCATGAAATCACTCCTCCGGTTAAAAGATATACATAACCAAATGTGGACTTTCGTGTATCCATACAACCAGCAAAATCTGAATCTGTATATCCAATCACCTTAAGGTGATCAACTTTCCTATAAGTAAGCATGTGATTCTTTGTTCCTTGTAAGTATCTTAAAACTTTCTTTGCAGCCTTCCAATGATCCAGTCCAGGATTACTCTGGTATCTACCAAGCATACCAACTGCAAAACTAATATCTGGCCTCGTACATGTTTGAGCGTACATCAGACTCCCAACAACAGATGCATAAGGGATATTTTCCATCTGTTTCCGTTCCAAGTCATTCTTTGGACATTGCATGAGACTAAATTTGTCTCCTTTCTGTATTGGAACGGGAGATGCAGAACAATTCTCCATTCTGAATCTCTCTAAAACTTTATTAATATATGCTTTCTGAGACAAACCTAACATTCCTTGTGATCTATCACGGAATATTTCTATTCCTATCACATAGTATGCCTCACCCATATCTTTCATTTCAAAGTTGTTAGAGAGAAACTTCTTAGTCTCACTTAATAGACCAAGATCATTAGTCGCAAGCAAGATATCATCAACATACAGAATCAGAAATATAAACTTGCTCCCACTGACCTTCAGATATATACACCGATCAACAGTGTTTTCCTTAAATCCAAAGGACAAAATAGTATCATTGAACTTAAGATACTATTGTCGAGAAGCTTGTTTAAGTTCATATATTGATTTCTTAAGTTTACACACCATATGTTCCTTTCCTTCTTCAATAAACCCCACTGGTTGATTCATATAAACATCCTCCTCTAAATCTCCATTCAGAAAAGCAGTTTTAACATCCATTTGATGCAACTCAAGATCATAATGAGCTACTAATGTCATGATAATTCTAAAGGAATCTTTCTTAGAAACAGGTGAAAATGTTTCCTTATAATCAATGTCGTCTTTCTGAGTAAAACCTTTGGCAACAAGTCGGGCCTTGTAACGTTCGATATTGCCATGAGAGTCACGCTTAGTCTTAAAGACCCATTTACACCCAACACTCTTACATCCTTCTGGCAATTCCACAAGATCCCATACACCATTATGTGTCATTGATTTAAGCTCATCTTTCATAGCATCTAACCATTTATCAGAATTATCATCATTAATGGCATCTGAAAATGAAACTGGTTCATTATCAATACTTAGGTCATTTTCTGACTCTTGTAGATAAACCACGTAATCATTCAAAATAGTAGACTTTCTTTCTCTGTGAGATCTTCTTAATACTATTTCCTGTGGTTGTTCTATTATCGGATCATTGTTAATCGCAGGATCATTACTTTATTGTTCTTCTTGATTGTCGTGTGATTCTACAACATTTGGAACAACAACTCTTGAAGATGTACTAGTTATTGGAACTTGTACTCTAATTTCCTTAATCTCCACATTTCGTGAAACTTCACTCCCACTGGTTTCACCATTTTCAATGAACCGAGCATTTCCAGTTTCAACAATTCTTGTACTATGAGTAGGACAGTAAAACATATACCCCTTTGATTTTTCTGGATAACCAATGAAATATCCACTGATTGTTCTTGCATCCAGTTTCTTTTCTTGCGGATTATAAATTCTTACTTCTGCCTGACAACCCCAAACATGTAGGTGTCTTAAACTAGGTTTCCTACTTATCCATAACTCAAAAGGAGTCTTTTGAACCACTTTACTAGGAACCCTGTTCAACAAATACATGGTAGTCTTCAAAGCATACATCCACAACGATACAGGTAAACATGAATTACTCAACATACTCCTAACCATATCCATTAAGGTTCAACTACGCCTTTCAGATACACCATTTTGTTGCGGTGTACCTGGTATTGTGTATTGAGCACAAATACCACGCTTCTCAAGGAACTTAGCAAACAGACCAGGGTGTTGTCCACTTTCATCATATCTTCCATAATACTCACCACCTCTATCTGACCTGACAATTTTTACCTTTCTGTCTAATTGCGTCTCCACTTCGTTTATATAACTTTCTAAGGCATTTACTGCTTGAGATTTCTCATATAGTAAATAGACATATCCATAACGCGAGAAATCGTCAATGAAAGTGATGAAATACTTCTCTTTATTAAAAGAATTTACGTCAAATGGACCACATATATCAGTGTGTATGATTTCAAGAAGTTGAGTGCTTCTTGTGGCTCCTTTCTTTGTGTGTTTTGTTTGTTTGCCTTTAATACAATCCACACATACATTCAGATCAGTAAAATCTAAATCCGGAAGGATTTCATTCTTTACTAATCTTTGCATTCTTTCTTTGGAAATATGTCCCAAACGCTTATGCCACAAATAAGCAGATCTTTCATCCACCAAACTACGTTTAGTGCCAACATTATGACGCAAGGTCATGAGAGTTTCAGCATATAAATTATCCAAATTCAATTTATATAAACCATCATAAAGTGTACCAGTTCCAATCATACATGTATGCTTAAATAAACTGAAACAACTATTCCCAAACTTAAAAGAGTATCCAGCAACATCAAGTTTAGACAAAGAAACTAAATTTCTAGTGATACTAGGTACATAAAAAGTATCCATAAGGTCTAAGTGATATCCAGTGTCAAGGATTAAACGATAAGTCCCGACAGCTTCCACTGGAACCTTGACTTTATTTCCCATGAAGACGAACTTCTCATTTGGGTTTATGGTTCGGGTTGAAAGGAATCCTTGCATTACATTAGAAACATGAGTCGTACATCTAGAATTAATCCACCAAGTATTATGGGGAACTTCAGTTAAGTTTGATTCAAAACATACGTAAGCACTATGCTCACCTTTCTTTTTGAGTCAAACTTTACACTTTATGCAGTCCTTTTGGAAATGTCTAGACTTCCCACAGAAATGATATTTATCATTTTTCTTATGAATGTTAGTAGAGGACTCGTTAATCTTTAATGATCTTTTACCCTTTCCATGTTTCTTAACAACTTTCTTTTTAGCTCCTTGATTTTTCACGTAATGAATAGAGTGGCTTCCTAGGTTCTTGAGTCTGGTCTCCTCCTGGACTAACATACTGTGCAATTCATGCACATTCCATTTGTCTTTCATGGTGTTATAATTCATCTGGAACGAACCATACTCAGACGGTAACAAATTCAAAATGAATTGCACAAGAAAATTTTCTTCCACTGCCATTCCAAGAGACTTGAGTCTTGCTGCGATATTTGTCATTTCGATTACGTGTTCATGCATACTATGAGAACCATCAAACTTCATGGTGGTCAACGTACTCATCAATGTCCCAGCGAGGGATTTGTCAGCAGTTTGAGAGCGCTCTTCCACAAATTTCATAAATTCTTTCACGTCCTTAGTTTTGGGAAGAGCAGACTTAATATTGCTTGCTACACTCATTCGCATAAACATAAGGCTAAGTTTGTTTGATCTTTCCCAAGCTCTATAATGAGTTTTCTCTTCATTACTACTGGCATCAGTGATAGCAGCCGGTTTTTTAACTTGGAAAGCCAAATCAATATCCAACACACCTAAGTGAAATTGGACTTGTTCACTCCAGTCAGGGAAATTTAACCCATTAAAGACTGGAACAGACGAAGATAGCGAATGCAGAGCTACAGGAATAGATATTGCAATTAACACATGCCTAACATTAATACTTTGAGTCATAAAATTAAACATAAATACGGATTCAACCATAAATTACCATTCTCTGCATACTAATGTTCTCCTTTGGGAGATCCATCAATACACAAACATAATTACGCTAATCATTTTATAACATTAATGATAATTAAAATATGCATCAACTAGAATCACCTAACACCTTTGGGTATATAAATAAAACTAGTGACGCACGAGAAAATTATCTACCTTCATGCTCATTAATTATAATAACAATTAATCAACCTTTGGGTGATCCTGAAATGTCCTATAATAATAAACTTCAATTAACCCATAAATCAAATATTCATAATTTTAGCGTTCATACTATGGGTAATTGAAATAAAATCATTAATAATTTGAAATCAAAATAACCTTAAAATTTTGGCCACTTTGGTGACTAACAAAATTTATCATGCTTAATTTCAAATAAATAATATCTTTAATTGCTATTAACCATTCATAGCTTTTTTTTATTATTATTAATTTTAATAAATATGTACATTATTCACATAATAAAATATTATGTGCCATAAATAAAATTGAAACTCATAATTTCAATTTTCATCCTAAGATTGATTTTGAATCCAAGACCTTTATTTGCATTTCACGTAAAAGTGAAATTGTCATTCATTCAAAACTTCAAAACTTTTATGAGTAATTTAAACACAGTGGAAACAATACAATTCAGTTTGCAAAACAAAATTCATTCATTTATCAATGTTTACATTATAGGTACATTAACAAAGTTTCACGAGTACCTTGACAAAGCTTTCAGTACCCTTGACAAAGCTTTCAGTACCCTTGACAAAGCTTTCAGGTACCCTTGACAAAGCTTTACAGGTACTCTTAACAAAACTTTACGAGTACTCTTAACAAAACTTTACAAGTATGAGTATATTATACAACTCACCTTAACATAAAAAATAACTTTTTAATTATCATTCAGCCACATAAAAAAAAATATACGTACAAAATAATGTACACATAATATGAGGACAAAATAATATAGGGACAAAATGGTTTCAGCAGTCACCAGTCACCAATATGTACATACAAAATAATATTATAAATAATATAGTATAATATAATATATGAAACCTGTGTGTTTAACACGTGCTTTCTACGCGCAAAGTTTATCAACTTTACGGTTTATCATTCTTCCATCATAGTTATAACATTTCATCATAACATCTCATCATAATTATAACATCTCATCATAATTATAACATACAATGAAACTAATTTCATACATGATTCATCCTAACCCTATCATGTCATTTGCCTTTTCAATTAGAAAGGATTACGGGGTCATTCACGCATAGGGACTATAAAATTGGTTTCAATTTGAACTTGAAAACATAATTAGGGTTTATTCCTTTATTTAATTTTGAGAAAAATAAAATTGGGAATAAATTAGGGTTCATACTAATCTGATAGAGAAATCCCTAAATTCATAATTAGGGTTTATCTTAATTTGGGAAAAACATCATTTGAGAAATATTTTCATAAAAGGAAAATCATAAATCTAATAATCAGGCTCTGATACCACATGTAAAACATTATGTAGTTTTCCTACGTTCTTAATTCATTATGGAAAACTACTCTACAGGATCTTTAGATTATTGATTTTCACAATATAACATACATCAATACATGAATCATAGTAAGAACACTAACCTTGATCCATGAGAATCTATTCTTTTTAATCTTTTCATTCTTCAATCTCCTTTTCCCAATCTATCTCTTTGTCTTTCTTTCTCTTCTCACGCTTTCTTGATGGTTTACCGTGAAAAAACCTTATGACCAGAGACAGAACCCTAATCCCTTTTATTAACCAACGTCCATCAAGTTGATTACCGTAAGTTAATATTTTATTTTATCTTTATTTTATTCTGACTTCACATAATAACCAATAGGTCCTCATATTTTTATTAAATCACATTTGGGCCCATTATTATATTTCACATGAGTCACATAATGGAATGAATTAATTAAATTAATTCTAACAAGAACATCCTGTACGATGCGAACATAGCTCTTTATTGTTTCTTTGTCTATTTTTTAGTCACCTTGATGAAAAACCATATTCCAAAATTTTTATGGGAGATTAATTCCAACTCTGATGGTATGGATTGCAGTACTGTGGAAAAATATGAACAGATCAATCGGATAATGATACGTTTACAACTGATTATAATATCTTAATAGGTTGTGGTTGTATATTACACGATCATTTGCCGTTCTACCATTTTTCTGATCAAAATATTAAATTCATACACGATTGTCTTTATATTCTGCAACAATTTTTTGTTGTTGCAAAAAGTACGTGTATAATCGATTATATATATTCATTCTATTTTTCACTTGTTTACCTTTTCTTTCACCTATCTATTCATCATTTCTATTTCGGTAACCTTTTCAAACAAAGCCAACATTGTTTCTGACAACAAAATACATACAGCCAGACAATTGTGTCAGCTAAGCTATTGGAACCGCATTTTGTTACAAATCTAATCTTCCAATTTCCAACTACTTTTGTTATATTTTCTGAAATATTTGTTTCCGCAGACTGGGCAGGTTTTGAAGAGAGAACTCGTGATGGAAATAAATTTGTTGTTGCTGAGAGACCGGTAAAACAGGGTCGACGTAATTACTGCACTGAAACAGAAGATTCCATCATTGAAGAGCGTAAAGCTAAAAGAGAAAATGCTGCCAATGGTTTCTTTGATGAGGCTGAGAGTGGCAATTCATCTTCAAACCTCCTTGATGCATTATTTGTTGATGGCTAATGGAAAACGTGTGATTACTGGGTAATGATTAATTGATCTTTGGGATAGTAGGCTGAGACCTTAAATGCGTCATTTGCAACCGAGGAGAACCAACATCTTGTCTATTTAATGGGAATTGGAGATAACTATTACATTGCAGACGATATATATATAATGTAACATTTCAAAAGATTCATTGTTGGGGGGCAGCTGCTGAGATTGAGGTGTGTATTGTGTATATTGTAATTTATGGTGTAGGTTTGCTGCAACTACCACCAGTTACAGGACATGAAGTTGCAGCCAATATGATTTTTGTAACCTGATACTGTCATTTTCTTTCCTGATGATTATTAAAGCCTCTTAAATGAGGGAAAAGTTGCCTATTCCAATAGTTTCAGTGGTTCTTTTTCTTTGTTTTAATTATGCTGTGATTTTTTTCAAGATGAGACAGATTGTTGTCCCCTTGTACCTTTGTAGTTTGTCTTTTTATTTCAACTGCTACATCTTATATTTGAGGTAGTAGAGAAGAGAACCACCTGCTTCTAATTACTTGACAAGTGCAAAATTCAAGGTTCAATTGGATTCGATGGAGCCCCTGGTTGACTCTGTAGTGGAGTCTAATTTTAGAGGCATTTCTTTCATTTAGACCTTAATGGGTCACCTGAGTGATTAATGCACTAGTTGGTTTGGTCAATAGATAACATTGGCGAATGAATCGTTAAAAAAGCGTATTGTGGTAATTTTGGTTTTAAAATCTCGTAGTATGACAACAATACACGTGATATTTTCATTCGTGCCACATGAACACAAATCCTTTCTTTATACATCAGGCACAGAATAAAAATTACACTGACTGTTAAACTAAAGCATTTCATCAAGATGACCAACCCAAGTTTCGATCAATAACAATAACAGTAGTTGTCACAGTCCAATGTCGCACAAGCAGAAAAGCAAAAGAGGATGGTTCAGTCTCTGCAGATAATGGAAAAGCGTGGTACATAACATTTCAAACTAGCAATATGCCCAGTTTGCTATAGCGACATGACAAAAAATAAAATGAAAAAATAAACTACTAATGTTAATTAGGGTGTCCAATTCCATGGCGATTATCGGGGAAAATCATGAACAACCCACCCGCTACCATCCCAATAGCAGGGGTGGAAGACGCTTCTGAGTTGACTCAAAATCAGGATAGAATCAATCAGCGCATAGTGTTGGTGTTCAATAGCCCCATCACCGCAAACACTAACAACGATGGCATAGTTCACAACTAGCTGAATTGTTATTAAATGGATTTTCAAAATCATATTTTATTTTATTAATATTTTTAAAATAAGATCTAAATTTAGAATTTAAAAATTGGTCAAATCTTATTTAATAAAATAATATTTATTGATAATATAAAATAATAACTACTTGTGTAGTCAAATAACACGATTATAAATATTAAATATACTGAAAATAATAAGTATGAAGGTAAAATTGGACATTAATAAAATAATTATTTTTTTAAATTATTTAATTATATGAAATAAAGATAAAAAATGTTATATTTAGTATAAAAATAATTATTATTTTTATTGAAACCCACCCAAAATTTTTGTTGACGTTTGATTAAAATATAATTTTTTTAGAAGTAATATATCACTTTTTATACTAATTTTTAATTAATCGGTTGAATAAGTCAGTTATAATAATAATAATAATAATAATATATTTTAAATTTTTTATTATAATTATTTATTCTTTAATATGATATGCAATATTTAATTTATTTTTAAATTTTGTATCTTAAATTTTTAATAATTAAAATTTAATCAGTTAACAGTTTTAAAATATATTCTAATAACTATTAAGTTAAAATTTAGTGTAAAAATTATACAAGATTTCAAAAAAAAAATATTATTAAAACATTATAAAAATTATATAACATTTCAAAATAAGATTTATTATTAAAATAAATATGAAATAATGGAAGATGTCAATTGAATTAGATAATAATTTTAAAAAAATATTAAATTGAAATTTATTCTAAAATCTATAAAAATTATTTTTATTAAAACTTAAATAAGATTTTATATCTTACATAGGAAGCACGGAGAAATAGTAGAAGATTTCAAAATGAGATTTTAAGACAGAAAATGTCTTTATGAAATTTCATAAAACTCATATGAAGAGGAGTTTGTTGCATAACCGTCCACATATTTCTCATTACACATATTTCATATTTGCCTATTTAAACACTGAAATATAACATAAACAAAACACAGAAATCAAGAGGGAAAACTACAACTTCCATTTTCATTTTCAAAAGCTACTCTACTTCCTATCTTCAGGTACATGAATTTTATTTCACATGCTGCCAAATTTGATTGCATAATCACCAAGCAGCTAATTGGCTTGTTAAAATCTTCAGATATCTGTATTTTTTCAATTTTGTCTGCATTAGAAAATGAATAAATTGGTGTACTTGTCTTAGTGTAGAGCAGAGATCAAAGATGGTGAACAGCGTACTGACCAAGAGCGAAGGGGATAACATTAATAATCTGGTTTGGAATGGGAAGAAGGAATATGCGGAGGATAGTAATGGTGATGTGGCTGGAGGAACAAGAACAAAATCAAACGGATTGACGACATGGACGAGAGATGGAACAACGCATCAGCCTGCAAAACGTGGTCAAGCAATGAACAAGGTACGTCACCCACAACCGTCTCTCATCCTCATCGCAATGAAAATAGTTTTATCAGCTTGATTTGCAATTCATAAATCTGTCTGCAATGGACTTAAATGCAAATAAATATACATAACAGAAAATCTAAATATGAATATATTTCATTTTCATCATTGCACATTACTCAATTGAGAGAATACGAATCATAAGAACATTTCATGTAGTGTTCTAATATTCTTGTATATATTGGAATATACTTTTTATATTCTGGAAATTTTAATTTAATCCTTACTGAAAGAAGGTGCTCCAAAGTTTTATTGGATGTGAGAAAAAATAACTGTTGAGTTGTTGACAAGACACCCAATGAGAAACCCAAGTCTGTTTTCGGGCCACAAAAGGTTTCCGACCTCAAAATATAATCTCAGGCCCAAATATTAACAGGCTAAAGTCGAATTCTTATATTTACATTTTTATGGAATAAAAAATAAAAAAATGGGTCATAAAATAAAAATTAAGTAACTGATAAATTATTAGATAAGTTAAATTACTTATTTAAAATATATTTTTTTAAATTTAAATAAATTTAATTTATCCAATAACTCATGCATGAAATGACATCGAAATAAAATAGAAATTGTCCTTTCTCCTCCTCCCAGAGATATGTGAATATGTCATAGTATCACGTTAGTATAAAGAGTTGTAGAGTGGTGTGTAACTATAATTTCCCACAACATTTTAACCTAACATTTATGTGACTTTGTTTAAACAGCGGGTATTCACTTTTGGCAAAGGTAGGGGAGAAGGAAACAAGGCCATGAAGTCCTTGGTAAGCATACTTTTTTATTTTTAACGTTTAAACATATTTAAGTTAACTTTTCATCTTACAGAAATCAAATTGTATAATTTCAAAAATATAGAGATAAAAAGTGGACTTTAAGCATTAAAAAAATAGGATTCCTTTTGTTATGTTCTTATTAATGGTGATTTTATTAGTGTTCCATGATAATAAAACCTCATATGCAAATCCAAATATGGTTGTATGTATGCTTGGTATGTGAAGCTGCTTTTCCCTTTAAATTGATCAACGGTTGCATGCTTGTTAATTACAGTTGGGAGGAAAGGGAGCCAACCTCGCAGAAATGGCAACCATTGGCTTATCTGTGCCTTCTGGACTCACTATATCAACAGAAGTATGCCAAGAATATCAACAGAATGGAAAGAAGCTACCAGATGACTTGTGGGAGGAAGTACTTGAAGGCTTGCACTTTGTGGAAAGTGAGATGGGAGCCACTCTTGGAAATCCTTCAAGACCTCTTTTACTCTCAGTTCGCTCTGGTGCTGCGGTAAGAGTCTTTTGCATTTGATTTTGCTCTTTCTGTGCCATTGTCAAGTGCCTCAATTTAGGATCATTTCTGGAATTTGGGGTCACCTTTGTACGTAATGGGCCTAAAATACGACTAATGAGTATAAGCTACTTATTTTGACATTGTAATTGATTTCCAATTATTGAACAACCGTACAATGAACTTTGTATTATCTAGCATGATGATTTCAATTCAAGATTCTTAGTTGTGAAGTTCTCGATCAAAGAAATCTTGTAAATAGAAAATTTACTATTTTTACAATTCTGTTTATAATTATATTGGAATTTGATTTAAATTTGATTCCTTTTATGGTCTGTATAACATGTTCATAGCCAACCTTACTTGTTTCCCATGCATTTTCAAGATTTCCATGCCTGGGATGATGGACACTGTTCTCAACCTAGGATTGAATGATGAAGTGGTTATTGGGTTGGCAGCAAAAAGTGGAGAGCGGTTTGCTTATGATTCTTATAGACGTTTCATAGACATGTTTGGAGATGTTGTAAGTGGTTCTTTTACACCCTATACATTGCTTTGTGCTTGCTTACTTTTGTCTAAAGCATCTCAAACTAAACAAATTGAAAACCAGAATCCCTCAGTCAATGCAATGTGTCAGTATCTTTCTCTAAAAATAAAATACTCAAATAGTTGTCTTCCATTGCTTTTGTTCTAACTGTTCTTCTATGTTTCATTAAGGTAATGGACATTTCTCACTCTCTATTTGAGGACAAGTTAGAAAAACTAAAAAGTGCAAGAGGTGTTAAACTTGACACAGATCTAACAGCCTATGATCTCAAAGAGCTAGTTGAGCAGTACAAGAATGTGTACCTTGAAGCCATGGGAGAAAAGTTTCCCTCAGGTGCTGAAAGAAACACACTAATTTCTTCACTTTTTGTTCGGATATAATTTTCATCGTCTTAGCCATTGATCCATGTCCACTATCTTCATCAAATTGTTTATAAGAAAAAAAGAAGAAAATATATATGTATATATATATATATATATATATATATATATATATATATATATATATATATATATTTGCTCATCTTTCTTATTCCTTTACCAATGCAGATCCAAAGAAGCAGTTAGATTTAGCTGTTAAAGCTGTTTTTAATTCTTGGGATAGCCCAAGGGCAATTAAATATCGGAACATTAATCAAATAACTGGACTAAAGGGAACTGCTGTAAACATTCAATCCATGGTGTTTGGTAACATGGGGAACACTTCAGGAACTGGCGTCCTTTTCACTAGAAATCCAAGCACTGGTGAAAACAAACTTTATGGCGAATTTCTAATTAATGCTCAGGTTACATGTGACTTACTTATTCTTTTTTTCCATGTCATATCATATCTGTTAACTTGTGGATGTTATCAATTACTCTTGATGATGATGTTTCAGTAACTAAATGTTGAATTATTTATGATTAGGGAGAGGATGTAGTTGCTGGAATCAGGACACCTCAAGACTTAGAGGTCATGAAATCTTGCATGCCAGAAGCTTGTAAGGAACTTGAGGAGAATTGTGAAATTCTAGAGAAACATTACAAGGATATGATGGTAAAGTTTCAATCTTTGTATATATTTGTTCTACGTTTATAATTTATACTAATTGTATAAATAGATTGATAGATAAAACTTCTAAAATTGTGATTATATGTTGTAGGATATTGAGTTCACTGTCCAAGAAAATAAGTTATGGATGTTGCAATGTCGAGTCGGGAAACGTACTGGTAAAGGTGCAGTCAAAATAGCTGTGGATATGGTTAATGAGGGGCTTGTTGACATTCGTTCTGCAATAAAGATGGTAGAGCCACGACATCTTGATCAACTTCTGCACCCACAGGTATATAGTAGTCCTACCATTATCCATTTATCATGTGCCTTTGACTTCCTTTTAGACAAAGGAAAATTTTGATGTCGATTCTTAGAGTTGATTTTATGCATATAAAATTCATAACTTCTTATAAGTAAAGAAAGTATTTAATGTGACCAATCTAATTTTTTCCCGTAAAAGCTTAATAATTTATGTGCCTAAAATCAATCTAAGGATTGATGTTAACAAAACTTATTTAAATAATGCTTTAACTGAAACCACTTGAAAGCATCAATTAACTAACTTTATTAGGGTTAGTAAAACCCAGAGAAAAAGAATATAAAACATCATAACCACATTTATTATATATCGTTGTTTTCGCTAGATGATTTTTACTGTTTAATCAAAATGTTTAGTTATTTCCTATTTATATTTGCCCACTAAGTTATTTGATTCACGTAAGATACTTATTGTCTAAATATTTATTTGGTTAGTTTGAGGATCCATCTACTTACAAGGACAAAGTGATTACCGTTGGTTTGGCAGCATCCCCTGGAGCAGCAGTAGGGCAGGTGGTGTTCACGACTGATGACGCTGAAGAATGGCATGCACAAGGAAAGAGTGTTATCTTGGTAATCCTTTTTTCACTGTATAATCGTTTTTCTTTTTAATTCTTACTTCTTTTAATTGATAATCTACCTGTCTACTTTTAGCTAGAAAAATCCAGAGTTTTACATAAATTTTCGCCAGAGTTTTACATTTTTTACATAAATTGTTGTTTTATGGTTAAAATGTAAATGTTGTCCTTGATTTAATAATATTTATGGCTTGGTTAAACGAGCCATCCACTAACAATCCTTAAATGCGACTACACTCTTGAATTGTTGAAGGTGAGGAATGAGACAAGTCCAGAGGATGTTGGGGGTATGCATGCAGCTACAGGAATCTTGACGGCTAGGGGTGGTATGACATCTCATGCTGCTGTTGTAGCCCGTGGATGGGGAAAGTGTTGTGTGTCTGGTTGCTCTGATATACTTGTAAATGATGCTGAGAAGGTAAACTTGGATTTTCCATTTATGTATACTAATAAATGATCCTCATGTTCTGATCATGAATAATTTTAATTGATAATGTAGGTGTTTGTAGTTGGGGACAAAGTGATAGCAGAAGGAGAATGGCTCTCACTGAATGGATCCACCGGCGAGGTGATAGTGGGAAAGCAACCACTTTCTCCTCCTGCTCTAAGCGATGATTTAGGAACTTTCATGTCTTGGGCAGATGAAATAAGGCATCTGAAGGTGCTACATGTGCTTTATCTACAACAGAAGTTGAATTGAATAAAGGAAAACTTGTTTTCTATAAATTCTCTAATATGTTATTGTCTATTATCAGGTTATGGCAAATGCTGATTCTCCTGAAGATGCAATAACAGCTAGACAAAATGGTGCTCAAGGGATTGGGCTTTGTAGGACAGAGCATATGGTACAACAAACATTCAACTCCTTGTTATATCTAAATAAAAAAGTGTGACTACCTTGGGATAATTTTGTCTAATATCCTCCTTATAAGCTTAATAAAATGATTTAATGGATCATTTTAGCCCTTTCCTAGGAATCCAAATTGAAATTAACTTTTTCGTTCATTTTACATATCAGCGCACTATAGTTACAAATTATATGATTACTTTTTGCATGTTGTGGTGGTTTGTAGTTTTTCGCTTCAGACAAGAGGATAAAGGCTGTGAGAATGATGATAATGGCAGTTACAGCGGAGCAGCGAAAAGCTGCACTGGACTTGTTGCTACCTTACCAAAAATCAGATTTCGAGGGGATATTTCGTGCAATGGATGGTCTGCCAGTAACAATCCGATTGTTAGATCCTCCACTTCATGAATTTCTTCCAGAAGGTGACCTGGAACACTTCGTCAGTGAACTAACTACTGAGACAGGAATGAAAGAAGAAGAAATCTTTTCCAGGATAGAAAAACTATCAGAAGTGAACCCCATGCTTGGTTTTCGTGGCTGCAGGTTTGTGCTCCTCATCTTATAATGCTTATGTAGTATGTGCAGCAAATGTAATATCTATGTATCATATATGACTGATAATTTTTGTTTAGATCAGGAAGTTCATGTTTGGTTTGCAATTTCTCATGTTTGACAATTGAAATCTCTGAACAGGCTGGGAATATCATACCCAGAACTGACGGAGATGCAGGCCCGTGCAATCTTTCAGGCTGCTGTTTCAGTGAAAAATCATGGTATTACAGTTCTTCCAGAAATAATGGTTCCACTTATCGGTACACCTCAGGCATGGCCCTTTTCTTACTTATTTCTTACGATATTGGTTTTGATCTTAATGAAGCCCTTTGATGTAATGATTACATGATATATGTCCCCCAAATTTTAATTGGCAGGAATTAAGGCATCAAGTGAGTTTAATAAGGAATGTTGCTAATAATGTGTTTTCTGAAACAAATTCTTCCTTAAGCTATAAGATTGGGACTATGATTGAAGTTCCAAGGGCTGCGCTAGTTGCAGAAGAGGTAACATTTATATCCTTTTGTACATTTTAATCAGCTTCAGACCGAGAACCATTTTGTAGATTTATAATTGCAGCACAAGAGTTAAAGGGATTTGTCCTCTTTTGTTATTTACACATTTTCATTTTATAATTGATTCATCTAGATTGCAAAGGAAGCAGAGTTCTTTTCATACGGAACCAATGACCTTACTCAAATGACATTTGGATACAGTAGAGATGATGTTGGAAAATTTCTTCCCATTTACCTATCCACTGGGATTCTGCAGCATGATCCATTCGAGGTTAGTTGTCGCATGTTTGTTTAGCCATTTACACATAATGAAGGACGGTTGCTGAATTTGAATGGTTGACAATAAGTCCAGGTACTTGACCAGAAAGGTGTGGGTCAACTCATCAAGATTTGCACAGAAAAGGCTCGTGCCGCTAATCCAAACCTAAAGGTAGGAGAAGTAACTTAACAATAGAAATTAATTTTTTTAAATAGAAATAAAATGGAGATAAAACATGATATTGATTATCAGGTTGGAATATGTGGAGAGCATGGTGGGGAGCCTTCTTCTGTTGCATTCTTTGCTGAAATTGGACTTGACTATGTTTCATGTTCTCCTTTTAGGTCAGATTTTCAGTTCCACAATATCAAAAATGAAAATTTTGTATCTTCCATTATCAAACTGAAACTATGAGCACACATTTGCAGGGTTCCAATTGCTAGGCTTGCGGCAGCTCAAGTTGCAGCTTAAGAATCAGTTGATGCCTGCCCATATCAGAAGCATATGAAAGATGCCCACATCTGAACCATATGAAAGAGATAATTGGTTGACTCTCTAGAACTATAAACATTAAGGTTTATACGAGACGTCACATAGAGAGGGGCTTCTAATAGAAATGAAAGCAAAACAAAATCAATAAGGAAATCTTGTAAATTAATAATATAAGATGGGAGAAAAAGTTGTACGCAAAGATTGATGCTAATATTTCTCTCATACGTTTCTTGTCATATAATAAGACTGAATATGTTAGATGCTTGTACATGTTCTATTGGATTCTATCGTAATAAACAAAATTCTTCTATGTTTAGTCATGTGTCTCCACTCAATTGATAGTATCGGAGAAGAACTTGGAATAATTGTTGCATCACGTGCCACTTAACATGTTGACACAAACATGTAGGATTTTGTTGAATTTGAAATTAATCGAAGTAAAAACAGTATTACAGTAGACAATGAGATAAGAAAAGATAAAGAAACTTGCGTTTGCATACTATACTGTATTGAAAAATAATTAATTAACATATTACGAGGACACATTTGCAGGTTCCAATTGCTAGGTTTGCGGCAGCTCAAGTTGCAGCTTAAGAAACAATTTATCTATATCACAAGCATATGAGATAGAGTATTGGTTGACTCTCTCTATAATTGTAAATAACTCTCGTTCATCATAAGCCCGTTATATTAGAAATGAAGGTTTATAGGAGACGTCACATGTATAAAGGAGGGTTTTTAAGCATTTCCGGTGCTACTTGTTATTAGCAAGTTTTTATTTCATTTTAAATAGGACATGTTACTCCTATAGAGGGTAATTCATTTTATCAGAATTAGTTGTTTGAATAATAATTTGAAAAAAGAAATCGAAATTTTAGAAATTGATAATAGTATTTTGATTTTTTAAAATAAAAAGAATTAAAATTTATTTTAAAAAAAGTAAGAATATGAAATTTTTTATTTTTTTCCTAAAATTTATGTTTTTTCTTTCATATTTTCTCTTTAAGTCAATTTTAATTGAAATATTTTTTATTTATCATGACTTAATTTAAATCAATCTTATCATACTTTATCCATCTTGTTTAACTTATCTTGACTTAATATATCATACTTGATCTAATTCTTTTTAATTATGTTCGGTTCATCTACTCAAGTATAGTTGTCTAACCCCTAATTCAATTTATCCCAACTTAATTCATCTTGATCTAACTCGATTCATTTTGATTTAATCTCTTATAATCCAACGTATTTTGTATTTGGTTTGATCTAACTTTTCTCATCTTAGTTTGTCCTATTTGGTTACCACCTAACCCAACTCAACCTAACATAATTTGATTCATCCTAACTCATCTTAGTATAATTTGACTCCTCTCAAACTATTAGTCTAACTTAATAATGATAATTTTTATTTTTGATAGTAATTAAAATATTTATCTAGAAAAATAAAATTCAACAAATTTGAATTGTAATCCAAATAAATTATTTGAAAATTTTCATTTAAAATAACACGCCTTCAAATTTAATATATTTGAATTTCTAAGAAATTAATGTTACTTGTTATGAAGCACTTGTCAAGTTGTGTAACTTAAAATTTGATTTTTGACTTTCAAATTATTGAAAGTATTTCTAAGCCACTTGTGTAAAATTTGAGTTATGACTTTCAACATTTTGAAAGTATATCTAGGTCATTTGCAATTCCGATATCAATCTTTCATCTACTTTTTCAATGATCAAAGTAATGCATTATGTTATTATTGGTTATTGAGACCTGCTCAATAATTATTGAAAATAATTGATTGTATAATTAGGTTTGATATTCTTTAAATCGGTATATTTTGATTTATAATCTAACAATTGGTATCAGCATGTTAGTTTATGATCAATTTTATTCTTTGTTATCATTAACCCTTATTTGGTATTCTCCAAATATTATTGGAATGTAGGGGGTTTTTCTTACGTTTTAGATGCATTTGAAATTGTATTGAATGGTTGATATTTCTCTGCATGTTATCATCAGTGAATGTTTGGTTTAATTGATTATGGATAAACCCTAACAAAATGATTAGAATTGATGATCTGAAACCCTAATTTTGGGTTATCCCCAATTTGTAAACCCTAAATATGTTTATCCCCAAATCAAACCTGCTATTGAACTTTTGCCACTGCCATGATCTGCATCCTTACGTTGTCATGGAGACGCTCATGTGGTTGTGGTTGTGAGAGAGATAAAGTCGTTTTCGTCATCCCCAAATCATCGCAATGATGTCATGTTCGTGCATTGTGTTTTTCACGCAACAGTGACACAGTTGGAAATTGTCACATTTTTATTTTTGGAGGATGTCGTGAGATAATTGGAATTTCATCGTTGAAATCGCAATTATCTCGTAAGGTGTGTGATATTATTTGAATTGAAATTGAAATTGATATATGTGTGCAATAGGCATTTAGCATGATGCTTTTATCATGTAATTAGAATCATGGTCACTAAATTGAAAAGTTTTTCTCTTCGTTATCAAATCATGCAATTGGAAGAGTTTCATCCTTTTGCCATTTTTTATATTGACAATTGATGCACCATTAGATTTTTATTGGCATGCGATTGGAAGAGTTTCATCCTTTTGCCATTTTTTGTATTGATAATTGATGCACCATTAGATTTTTATTGGCATATCACCTGTGTACCATTCTTAAAAGCTAAGCATTTGTATTTTAATTGTAAATATGGCTACGTAAATATTTTGGTGCCCGTGTATTCATGAGAAAATTTAATGGTTTGGTTATTTGTGAAATTTGATTATATTAATTAAGCTTTTCTCGTACGTATACTTAATTGGCAAATTAAGTTCATGTTGTTGGATATTTATTATTATATATATAATACTTTGTTTTTTGGTTTTGAAATAAATAAATATTCAATGTTATAGTAGTTTAACATTTTTATGAGTAAATTAAATGTTTAGCATTTTATGACTCCATATTCAAAGTGACATCTTTTGAATGGATGGTTCATAAAAAACGTTAAATATTTGTGTGTAGGTATATTCATGTATTTTAATTGTTTTGGATTTTGACCGTTGCATGATAGCGATCATGTGGTTCGAAAATCGCACCATCCTGTTATGTAAATTGTCAGAGTTATTTCATGTATTATATAATTTTATTATATTTTGTTAAGCATGAATAATATAATTTTATATGATTGTAATTTCGACTTTTGGGTATGAAATTTTTTGTATAAGTTTTTTTTGTTATTTCGGGGACTTGTTAGTGTGTTATGCTCTCCCTGGTAGCATGTTTATACTTGAATTAAAATTTTGACCTTTTATTCGTAAATGTTTACATGTTTTATGGTTATATATATGATATTGTCGTGCATAATATAATTTTATTATATTTTGTTTAACATGATTAATATAATTTTATATGATTGGGAATTCACCTATCGTGAGTACAATTATATAAAATTTTGTGTGAATGAGATAATTTAACTATCTCATTAATTAATTTTATATTACATTAATGTTAATCATGCCTATTGATATGTTGTTGATAATGTATTTTATTTTATTTTTTGATATAATATATGTTAAATTTTGATCTGATGTCAATCATTTGTCTTAAACTCTATTGGTATTAGATTTCTTTATGACATGAGTTGTGCATTTTATTTTATTTTTATTTATTATGATTCGGGACCCTTAGGTGAGATCATGGTGGATGAGAAATTTGGTATTATAGACATGCATGTTTGATTGTGTCTTCATAAACATTCAAATTTTTATTACATAATAATTGTGCATATTAGATGTTTCTTTGTCGTTTTGATATATGTTTCTTTGCCTATGCAATTGATTTCGGTCAAAACTTTGAATGAGACAAAATTTTTGATAACCGGAAAGAATCTTTGGACTTGTATCTGACAATTACTAATATGGACTCTTCTTTGAGAGAAGAAAAACCTCCAACTCTTACTTCTGAGTCCACTACTGTTCAAAGAACTTGTAAGAAATTGGAACACTTAATCATAATGTGTCTAATGGTGTTGAAATACACCACGATGAAGTCTATATGTTCAACCTAATGGCTTTTGGTAAATAAGGCAAAGAGCATTTGGTTTGTAGGTTGAAAAAGTCTATTTATAAGCTGAGACAAGCTTATAAACAATGGTATTTGAAGTTTGACCAGGTGGTCAACTCTTTTGGCTTCAAGGAAAATGCTTCAAATCAATACATTTACTTAAAGACTTGTAAGAGTCATATCATCATTCTTGTCTTATATGTTCATGATATTCTTCTTGTTAGTAGTAGTATTAAACTTTTGATGGAGACAAAATTTGTGATACATAGCCACTTTGATATGATGGACCTTGGTGATGCCTTTGTTGTTGTTTTTGGCATTCAGATTTTTCGTGATAGGTCACGTAGCATTCTTGAATTGTCTCAGAGAAGATATATTGATAAAGTCCTCAAAAGGTTTAACATGCATTCTTGCTTGCACCTGTTCAAAAGGTGACAAACTCTCTAAATCTCAATGTCCTAAAAAGATAGATAATGATAGAGTTGAAATGAAAAAAAATTCCATATGCTTCTGCTATTTGTAGTTTAATTGCTTCCGCTGTCGGTAGTTTAATGTATGCTCAAGTTTGTACTCATCCCCGATATTGCTTTTGTTGTTAATGCTTTAGAGAGATACTTGAGCAACCCGGATTTGGATAATTGGAAAGTCGTTAAAAGGTCTTTAGATATTTGTAGGGAACCAAGGATCACATGTTGACCTATAAGAAGTTTGATCAACTTCAGGTCATTGGTTATTAATTTTACTGGTTGCCCTAACGACCGAAAATCTACTTCTAGCTTTGATTTTATGATGGCAGGAGAAGCTATTTCTTGGAAGAGTGTTAAACAAACTTTTGCCGCTACTCCTACCATTGAGGCAGTATGTTGCTTGTTACGAAGTACTTGTCAAGTTGTGTGGCTTAA